GGGCAGCAGCTGACGGGCTACTCGGCAGCGTCTGTGGATATCGCGATATAAAGATCGATTGGTTCGTGTAGGCGGGAGCCGGTCGATACGGCAACTGATCAGGCTCAACCGGTTGTATTATGCTTGCTCCACCCTTCTCCCCGGCATAGAGCACAGGATGATGTGGTGATGAGATGACAAACACCTTCTCCTCTCTCTCTCTCTCTCTCTCTCTCTCTCTCTCTCTCTCTCTCTCTCTCTCTCTCTCTCTCTCTCCTCTCTCTCTCTCCTCTCTCTCTCTCTCTCTCTCTCTCTCTCTCTCTCTCTCTCTCTCTCTCTCTCCCTCCCTCCCTCCCTCCCTCCCGTCCCGTCAGTGGGGGTCGTCTGTAGCCGCGCGGCCCGCTCTCAGCAGGTGCGCCGCGGAGCGTCTCCACTGAAGGCCGGCCGGTGACCAGTCGGATCGGTGCACGGCTCGCACCGGCCGGCCGCGCGGCACACCTGGACGGCGGGGGCTCCGCTGGGGGCGCCGCGCCGCGGGACACAGCCGCGGGCACCGGCGGAGCGGGCGGCGCGGACACCACGGTCTACCGCCTCCCGTAATCGGCCATCAGCCCAGGGCAGCTGCGGTCGGTGGGACGCCGCGGGCCGCCGCCGCGAGATACAGCGCTCCGCGGCGCCCGCCCGCCTGACGCCGGCCCACGGCGCGTCATCTGATACCGCACGGTCCACACGCATTATGTATGTGGCACACACGGCCGGCGCTGCCGCGGCTGTTTTCCCATGAGCCGTAGCTATCGGGGACAGGAGCCAAGACAGAAGGCCGCAGCGGGACGGAGGCTGGCGCCGAGGGAATCGACTCTCTGTCTTTGTTGTTGTGGGGACGGAGAGTGGAGAAGATATTTGCTGCCTATTCAGGCCAGCCGGGGCAAAGGACATCTTTGTGCCTTGAAACGAGGACACATGCCTACGTGACAAACAAACAGGATGCATGTATGAGCGTATGCACCTATGCACCGTGCACACTGCACAGCCCACAAATCTGCAAGCCAGCGTGAGCAGCGTCGTTTCAGAGCTGCAGGGCGGCGCTCCGCCCGATTTGATTTAGTCCCGGTGCCGGAGGTCACATTGCCATGCACAGCATGGTGCACGGCGCCGGAGTAGGAGGCTGCCGAGAGGCGGCGGGGCGGGCTCTCAGAGACCGGGAGACGCCCTCACGGATATCGGGTGCTCCACACGGCCGATACCCATCACCGTGTCACTGAGGTCAGCGCGGGGAGCGGCGGAGAGGGAGGACCTGACGTGTTATAATGCACGGCAGGTGTACGACAGGAGCGGCTCTGGCGCACTCCACCCTGTCATGGGTGGAGAATGTTTGAAAAAGTTACCCCGGCCGGCGACCGATAGTCGCGGGAAGACGATATACTCACGTTGTTCTCAACGGTCATCATCAAACCCCTATTCTGACGCATGGAATAGGATGCTGTGTTTGTTCAAGGATGAGCGTTGAATCCGACACCGTAGTTTTTTCAGTTCGCGCCGGCAGCAAGTGCAGCAGCGAAAGGGTGAAGCCGCAGGAAGAAGAAGCAGCAAGCGTTCGAGATACGGCACCGGCAAAGCGTTCCATAGGGCTACATCTGACTGACGGAAAGCCGGCTCGGAGCTACCGTTGGATTGAAGGTGTGGTCCGGCGCTGCCCTTGCCGTCTACCTACCAACCGGCGTGACCGGTCACCCTTCCTACGCCAAATTCTCCCTCTTTCTCCTTCAATTCAGATCCAATTATCCACCACCCAGCCGGGATACCTAACGGTGATACCTCCACGCTTGGGGCCTAAGAACCTGACTTCGGTCGGGTTCGTCAAGCCAGGGCGTAACAGGCTGCGTCTTCTATGAGCAGCTGGAGCTTAACGAACGGCTTTCCAAAACTCACTATCTCTCATCAACCTACCGACCTTGAAATTGCCAAATACAACCACTAAAATTACATCTGTTTAATTTTCTATTCTTTTTTTGCGCCTGATTCTCCACTCTACAAATAACTCTAACAGACATGGACTCATACACCACCACAACACAAGACATCGAACTGCACCACCTCGGCTCCTACGTCGTCGGCCAATACACGGACCCCCGGCTGAATATGGCCAAGGAGTCCGCATTCAAAATAAATCGCACACTCACAGACATCACAAAAAGCACTACGCTACGCATCACACCCCAGCACAAATGCATCCTCATCAAGACATCCAACGAGACACAGACAAAAGCACTTCTGTCCACCACCACCTTCGCCAATCACGACGCATCCTTCACACTACACCGGACCCTCAACACGACCCGAGCCACTATCCGCACGAACCCGCTAGACACACCACTAGCAGTCATCGGAGACGAGTTGGCGTCCCAGGGCGTCAGCTCAATTCGTCGACTGGCTTCCACCCACCACTACACCATCCTGCAACTCACCTTTAACACCACGATCCTACCTCCTCACGTTACACTACAACACTGCCGATACAGCACACGTCTTCACGCGCCACTGCCCCTTCGCTGCAAGAAGTGTCAGCGCTACGGTCACGGAGAACGTGCTTGCACCTCCCGTACTGCACGCTGTGCACGTTGTGGCGAGGGGCATCCGTCAGAGGGGTGCACTCGTCCCTTCCGATGCGCTGCCTGTGACGGATCGCACCCGGTCACTGACTCCAAATGCCCTAAGTGGCTATTTGAGCGGGAAGTGACCAGGTACGCGGCGAGCATGCATGTACCACCAGCCCTTTCACGCACCCTGGTCTCCAAGGCACCACCAGTACATCTAGCCGAAACATTTAAACACGCAAACGTAACAGGAAGCACCTACGCCTCAGTCGCTTCACGCACCAACGCAAAACTCCAGCCACTAGCACAGCACCCACCGAGCTGTCGCCGACCTGCCCTCATCCCAACACCACCTCACCCACCTCGCTGGATCCCCACCAGGGAGGCCCTCCTTCCTACACCGCCCTATCCGCCTCACCCCAGACCGCCACAGGGATGGAGAGTGCCCGGTCCGCTGCCGGGACCCCCGTTCTTGAGGCGGGACTTCCCGCTCCTACCTCCACCTCCACACTGTATACCTCCCACCCACCCTAACCAGCCTCCGCCCACCCGACCCAAGCCTCCAACCCGCACCACTGCAACCTCCACAAGCCCCCCACCAATCACCCAGACCGTCTCCACTTCCACAGACCCTCCTCCTCCACCCACTCTGCGGTCTGTTTACACGCAGACTGACCCTGATTCCCATCCATGCTCTCAGAGCAGCTCCAGCCTATACATCACTCCCTCCAACCCCTCAACCCGATCATCCGCTTCGAACCCAAGTTCAGGCCCAGCCTCAAACACACGGATTCCTCGTCCCATCTCGCCTCCAAAACACGTCCGCTCACGCTCTTTATCTCCCGTTCAGCGAAACATCGAATCCCTCCACCAACCTCTTCCCTCCCCTCTCATGACACGCGCCTACCGCAAACGAAAGGCGAGGGATCTGGCTGACCAATCCAACCCTACTCCAGTCTCGCACTATGTGTCAGAGACTACTCATATCAACCGCGCAGTTCCCTCTAAATGACGCACTTGCTACAATGGAACACACGCGGGCTACTTACGAAGTGGCCGGAGTTCAAAGGTGAAATTCTCCGAACGAACCCGGTCCTGGCTGCACTCCAAGAGACCCATTTTCGAGATTCAGACCAATGGTTTAAAATCCCAGGGTACACTTGGCATACACATAACGTTAACGAACAAAACAGACGAGAAGGAGCGGCCATCCTCATAGCCAACAGTGTCCCGCACAATAGAGTAGCTATCAACACACCACTCAATTGCGTTGCTATACGTTTAAGGATAGGCTACACACAAGTCACCACACTGTCAATATACATACCACCTTCCCAAGCCAACCCGACACCACAGGAGCTGGATGACTTAATCAGCCAGCTCCCAGCACCCTTACTTCTCATGGGCGACGTCAATGCACAACACCCAGCATGGGGAAGCCTATGCAGCGACTCCCGCGGTAACACCATCGAAGCAGCCATAAACAAACACAACTTTACAGTACTCAACACAGGCGAAGGCACCAGGCTTAACCTAAGGGGCATCGACCGAGCCATAGACCTAACGTGCTGCACAAGTTCAATCCATCACCTATTTGATTGGGCAATATCGTCAGACCCAGGGCCCAGTGACCACTACAAAATTAAACTTACACTTAGTCCGAGGTCAATTCGCCACGTTAAAACCTTTACTCCAGGCTGGAATTTAAAAAGGGCTGACTGGTCGAAATTTGAGGAAATGGTGAACCTCTCACTGGGTGACACAGATCATCCAGACATTTCAGTAATTCTAAGAGCCATCGGCTCCGCAGCACAAGCCAGTGTGCCCAAAAGTAAGCAACCACCCAAAAAGGCATCAGCGCCATGGTGGACTCCAGCCTGCAGCCAAGCAGTAGCAATCAGGAAAAGAGCACTAAAACAATTTAAACGTTGCATATGCGAGGCTCACCGCCTAGCGTACAAACAAGCTGCTGCATCTTGCAAAACTATCTTTAAAACAGAGCGCACTAACTCTTGGCAATCATTTGCATCCAAATTCAATCGCTTCACACCAACAGCAAAAATCTGGAAGCTTCTTAAAGCTTTCCACCTCAAACGCGCACCCCCAGGGCCATTCCCTTCGCTTAAAGTAAGAGGGCAGGAAATTACTGACCCAGAGCAAGTCATGATGGAATTTGCGAAACATTACCATTCAGTGTCAGCTAACAGCTCATACCCACCACAACTCAGGTCACGACTAGGAAATCTTGCCAATAGCTGCGACTTCACCTCCAACAACTACGAAATTTATAACAAACCATTTACACTACACGAGTTATCACATGCCATCAGCAAGTGCGGAAACACGTCGGTTGGGCCGGACGACATACATTACGAATTTTTCCGACGCCTCAGTAAACAATCATTAACGTACCTCTTAGCGGCTGTCGCACAGCCTTGCTCCATCCTGCACCCTCACAGTTTACACTAATTGAAACCTTGCAAAATCCTATTCGTTACGCTCATCGTGTGACGGACGGGCGGCCCGGCCCGCACGCATGTACAATAATAAAGTTGATTGACGCTGCGCTTTGCAGTGCCCAGCCGGCCGCCCTGCGTCCTACATTCACGCGTGTCGGTCAGCGTCCCAGTTTCGTACACGTGTGTTTCATCGTATATAAAGTCCTGTATCTGACGCCAATACAATCCAGTTCACCAGCAGACGTCTTTGCTGAAGGTAAGGGCTAAAGGCCCCGCTGACATTTGGTGGCAGCGGTGGCTGGGGTATCTATTACCCCCCCCCCCAACCCGGACCCATGTCCCGTTGTGTATAGTTATTTTTTTTTTAGGTAGAAAGGTCTTAAATTCTGTTATTTTTGTCGTATAGAAATCTCTCTTCTCATATTTGGTTTAATACTTAAAGGATCTCTCTCTGGTTCCACCATGTCGGTCGATCGTACCCCAGCGGTTTCTAGCCTTAACATTCACCAAATTTCGACATTCATACCAATTTATGACGGTTCATTCCCGATTCAAGATTTTTTGCAAGAAGTCCGTGACGCTCAAACCATGGGTTCCTGGCCCGACAGCGTCACCCTCAAAGTAGCTAAAACAAAACTGGACAGTAAAGTGGCCGAACTGGTCCGAAACCGTCATGACTTGAATCATGCTCCCACCTTTGAAGAATTCGCTACTCGCCTGACATCCGCGATCAACTCTGATCGCCCCGTATCATCCCGTTTACAAGATCTAATGACTTGCACACAACATCCGCAAGAGTCAGTCGATGCGTATGCATTCCGACTCAGAAACAAAACCAAATGTTTGACCGAATGGGACGCTACCCCCGAAACCAAACAGCTCAAAAACCGAACCGCAGCAGCAGCTTTCGTCAAAGGCTTAAAACCAAGCCTACGTCAGCTGGTCTTGCCACAAAACCCATCCGATTTTGATGCCGCCATAGCTTTGGCAAGAACCCAAGAATTAAATTGTGTGTTCCTTCCATCTTCGGACACATCTGCTACACATTCTGTGTCGGCCGCGGAGTTAAACTCGGACGTGGTTCAGCAGTTGCAGCACCGTGTGGCCAGCCTCGAGCTCGCCGCCTCCCAAACCCCTCAGCGTGGGAGAGGACGACAGCCCTTCCGGCGAAACTTTCGCCAGCGTGGGTCGTTTCCCAATCGTGGCCGTGGCTATTCAACGCCACCGTCATATACTCACCAGCGAAACGCATACCCAGCTCGCCAAAGTCATTCTTCCTATCGTCCTCCCTCGTATTCACAGCACCAACAATGCTGTTCAGATCACTGTCACTCATCGAGGGACCGCTATGATCGTTATCGCCGCTCATCAAGGTCTCACTCTCGGGACCGACGGCACCGATCTTATTCAAGGTCGCAATCCCGATCTCCGGATCGGAGGGGATCGAGTCACTCCCGACGGAGTCCATCCCCAAACGGCAACCGCTCGCGACGCTAAATGGGACTACAGCGTTCGCGAGCGTGGCAGCTGATAATTCAGGTACACGCCCTCGTCCACCAATCCTGGAAATCTCTGTTAAGGACCAACCTGGTTCAGCCTTGTACGACACCGGATCCAGCATTTGTCTAATCAGTCACAAGTTTTTCCAGTCGTGCAGCATTTCCAGTCCTCTGGAGAAGTCGTCATTATCTATTTTAGGAGTTACCGGTACCCCAATTCAGATTTTAGGTCATTGTCAAATACCCATCCACGTGTCTGACCGTACTATTCAGCATACTGTTTATGTGACCGATAAGTCACTTTCCTTCGGTTGCGACATCATTCTCGGCATAGATTTCATCATCCGCCACCAGCTACTGTTCAATCCGGACACAAAAAGTGTGTCCTTCCTGCAGCCTAGCGCCGCAACATCCACCCAGCGACAGACGCCGCAACGGCTCAGCCCAAGGCGACGAAAACGTGTCCGCTTCTTACTTGGCACCACTGACTCACCGCGCGACATTGATAACCCGTTGATCTCTTACGACGAAAACGATGCTTTCACTATCGATGAAGGGAAAAATCACCCTTTATTTTTGTACAGATCAGTCGAAATTCCAGCCTTTTCAGAAATGTTCGTTCAAATGAAATTACCGCGCTACTTGGTACCCTCTGAGGCCCCATACTTCATCCAGGGTCACGTCGATCAATCAACGGCAGGTATACAGGTCGCTCGCTCAATAGCGTTCTTGACCAAGTCGTACGTTTTAGTTCGTGTAGCAAACGTTACGGCTCGTCCAATTCTACTTCGGAAGAACTTGCGCATAGCGCAGCTCAACCCTGCTGCTCCCAAATCCGAAACTGACAGGAACGATGAAAACTCGTCAGGACAAACTTATTCAGCATCCACTCAACCTGACAAAGATGACAAAGTGTCTCCAAACGACTTTCAGCTCGATCACATCCCAGAGCCGTACCGATCGCAACTGCGCGATATGCTCATGAAACATGTCGGTACGTTTGGTAATACGTTAGATGATATCAAAATCACAAATGTGTATGAACATCACATTGTACTCTCAGATCCAACCCCTGCGTACAAAAACCCGTATCGACTCCCGTTTGCCCATCGCGATATAGTTAAGTCTGAAATCGACAAACTACTTGCTAGTGGTATCATAGAACCCGCTGTTTCACCGTACAATGCACCCATCATTTTAGTCAAAAAGTCATCAGGTGGTTACCGCCTTGTTTCTGATCTCCGTGTTCTCAACGAAAAGATCAAAGATGATAGGTATCCCAACTCATTTGCTTCGGATGCGATTGATCAACTTTCTGGTTGTACTGTTTTCTCGACACTGGATTTGCTTAGCTCATTTCACCAAGTCCCTCTCTCGAAGTCGTCGAGACCATATACCGCATTCACAGCTAACAACCAGCATTTCCAATATGCCTCTGTACCTTTTGGATTGAAATCAGCTTCCGCCGCACTGAATCGTGCGTTGCAAATTGCTCTTTCTGGTTTACAAGGTATCGATGCATTTCTTTACGTCGATGACATTCTGATCGCCAGTAAGAATTACGATGACCATTTAGAAAAGCTTGATAGAGTTCTCACCCGACTAGAAGAAACTAGATTCGTCCTACGTCCATCGAAGTGTTCGTTCATGCAACGTCAAATTAAATATCTCGGTCACATTGTGGATGAGCATGGCGTACGTCCAGACCCATCCAAAATTCAAGCGATTCGAGACTTCCCCAGACCAAGTTCAGTCAAAGAAATTCGTTCATTTATAGGATTCGCGAACTACTACCGCCGTCACATCCCGCGAATGTCTCAATTAGCTGCGCCCCTGATCGCTCTGACAAAGAAAGATGTTGAATTTATATGGTCTGAAGAATGTGAAAATGGATTCCAATCCATCAAAGATGCTTTAGTTCATTACCCAGTTCTTAGGTTTCCAGATTTTACAAAAGATTTCTACTTGTCTACTGATGCTAGTGATTTTGCGATCTCCGCTGTTTTGGAACAACAGCACGGTGAAGAACTTCATCCCGTAGCATTCATCAGCCGACAGCTGAACAAAGCAGAACGAAATTATTCAACTACTGAAAAAGAATGTTTAGCCATCTATTGGGCATTTGACAGCCTTCGTTGTTACCTTGTAGGTCATTTTACACATGTCATCACCGACCACCTCCCTCTACGAGGCGTGTTCAAAGCTACCAATCCAGGTGGCCGTCTGACCAGATGGTCACTCAAACTTTCCGGTTATGACTTTGATGTTACTTACTTACCTGGTCGTCTGAACGTAAAACCTGACGTTCTGTCTCGCGTTAAAATTGATTCCCAGTCAAAGGATACTTTCCTAGGGTTTGTTTCTGCCACTTCGTTTGAACATGAAGGTTGGACAAGAGAAAAGATAAAAGCCGAGCAACGAAAAGACCCCAACCTCATTCCCATTATCAACCAGTTATCTGGCCATTCAACTGCTCGCATGGATTTACAGCTTCATGAGCCATTGTCAAATTACTTCCTCAGCTCAGACGGCTTGCTTTATCATGTCTCATCTCAAAATAGCAAGACCCGTCCTTTCGTCGATCAGCTTGTAGTACCAGAACCAATGAAAAAGACAATCGTACAACAATATCATGATACTCTATGGTCTGGTCACCTCAAGTTAGACAAAACTGTTCAAAAAATTCGTTTGTTGTTCTTCTGGAAACACATGTACACAGACGTACAGAAATACGTCAACTCATGTCAGCAGTGTATGGAACGCAACGCTCACAAAACCATCAAAAAAGCACCACTACAACGAACGCTCACACCAGCATATCCAATGCATATTTCGTCTTTTGACATTGTAGGTCCCCTCAAAACTTCCTATCGTGGAAACACCCATTACCTTAGCTGGATTGATCATTTTAGTCGATTTCCGGAAGCCATTCCTTTAGCCGAAACCACGACCGAAGCTGTCGCAAAAGCATTTGTTGAAAACATCATTTCAAGGTACGGCATCAGTAAAATTCTTCTTAGTGATCGTGGTTCTAATTTCACTTCAAAACTCATGCAATCCATTTGTAAGCTTCTGGGTGTCAAACGCATCCTTTCATCTCCTCGTCATCCACAGGCCAACGGCCGTGTGGAACGACTGCATGCTACTATAGCAAATATCTTATCTCATTTCGTCGATCCATCCCAAAAGAATTGGGACGAAGTTCTGCCCATGGCTCTTTTAGCCATTCGGTCTTCCATCAACCGTTCTACCGGTGAAACTCCCGCTCAGATATTCACTGGTCGTGATGTACTTCTTCCATTGGACGTCGATGCTCAACTGCCCTTTGATCCTTTTGCCTCCATTGATTCCTACCGTGACTTGCTCCATAAACATTTGTCGGCACTTCATGACGTGGTGCGCGACAACAATGAGGCCGCCATCTTGGCGCAAGAACGATCCCATCCAACCCAATCCAATCCTCCGTCCATCCATGAAGGCATGCTGGTGTACCTTCACAATCCTCAATTCAAACCTGGACTCACCCGCAAGCTTCAAAAGTTAAACAAAGGTCCATACAGAGTGCTGCATTTGACTAGTCCCGTCAATGCACGTATCCAGCATCTGGAAAATCCCGGTGACGTGCAACTCGTGCACGTCAACCGATTAAAAAAATTCACCGAGGACAACCCCTTCAAAGCTCAGAAACCTCCTGTGGCTCACAGTGGTGAAACTGCTACACGTTCCGTAGGCGAAGCTACCCCAGGCAGCAATACTGGCGAGAACCCTCCCATTACGCTGCTGGCCGACCCAGGGACCCATGCAGACGCTCAACCCGAGAGACCACAGGAACAGAGAGAGGTCCGAGATAGAATGCCGCCGCAGCGACGGTTTGAATTGGCAGAAATGGAGGAAATTTACAATGCCCAAGGACCAGCGATGGAACAAGCTCCACCGCATTATAATTTAAGGCCAATAGCCAACTTACGGGCACCTCCAAGATATGGTCAGTAACGTAACTGCCAGTTAAACACAAAAAAAAAACTCTCGTCCTTGTGCTGAAAAAAGTGAGAATTGAGATAGAATATATTATAGAGCTCCGGTACCGTAAAAGAAAAGAGAGAAAGTCTCAGATAGAGCTCAAGAATAGCCAAGGACAAAGATTCTTGTAGGTACCTGTATATATGGAAGCGCTTCCCTTTTGTATATATCCCTTTAGTTATAAGTATAGTTAAGAATTGCAATGCAAAGACATGCAATGAAATGACATGAAATGACATGCAATGTCTTGAATATGGTGTTTTGTGTGACAATGTTCTTCGCATTTTTTGTGACATCATTTTGACATTTGGAAAAAATTAGCTTCTTATGGCGTTACTTGACACTTCAGCCTTGTTCTGTCCACAGATACCAATCTTCGAGATTGTGGGTACAATTATGCACCTCGTCTGATTTTGGATCAATGAACATACATAAAACCAAACAACTACCTACCGGACTCCGCCGAAAGCATACGCCTTGTTATTATACTTAACTGCTACATACCCGAACGATAACGATAATGGCTCGGTAGTCGGTAGGAAACGTTATACTCGTATTCCCCCCTCCCACCCAATTCATACTTTTGATCACAAATACGTGCTGCTCATTCTTGTGGCACCAAAGAGAACGACATCGGACGCTGCCTCTGATTGTACCCGCCAACAGAAAGGTAACCGAGTAAGTAAATCAAAATTATTTGCATAGCGCCCCTTTCACCACCAACGATACGTACCTATCCCTCTCCACATCCAAAATATGTCCTAGGATAGAATCCGTAGTACGGTCGACGGATGTCACTCATGTCCGTTGGCTGCAAAAATCGTCCTACGTGCCAAATCCCTTTGTTCGTCAGGACCCGCATCCGTTTCCTTCAACGCTATCCCGCTGTCCACTAGAGCCGTTTCACTCACTACTGAAGACTCCCTCATTACCATCGAATTTATTACTTCCCAACAATGCCACAAAGAGAGAATTTGTCTATCTCATCGATCAATAAAAAGCTGTGAACCCATTTCTTTTTGTTTAGATGCTCCCATCTTGAACCTTACGCAACGTAATGAAACCTCTGTTCAACACACAGCTCTTACACACTCCCGTGGTCTTTTCGACTCTATTTCTATGACCACAACCTCCATTGGCACATCTATAAAAAACTACGTTATCTCGTTTTTAGCCATTCTGGCTGGTATTTTTACCCTCTCTTTCGTAATCACTCTTTTTAAACGTTAATTTTCTTCAAACTTCCCCGTTATCATGTTTCGCTTCCGCCAGGCTCTTCAAGCCTGATTATATACAATGTACCACAGTGCGACCGTGCCACGCCCGGCCGGCGCCCCGATACATCTACAACTTCGAGGATCTTCACATTATCATGTAAGCGGAAGTGCAACATGGTGAGGCCAAAATTTTGCTCCCTTCTAAGCCTCACGTTTTTGATTGTACATTTTGGTTGCTTGTGTCACATGATGCTTATTGTCACTTGAACGTCACACACCATGGTTCATAAAGAAGACACGGCCAAGTGCCGTCCACATACCTATATGCAAATATGATGGTATGTACTTGTCTTGCTTGTCAAATGTGTATCCTTGTATTACTTGTAAATCGTATGTACTTGTATCGCTGGCCAATTGTTCTTGTATATTTTGCTTCACTATAGGTTGTAGATTTGTCCAAACGTAAAAAGTCGGATACAGGCATTACCACTTCTTCCAAGTTCCCAACATTTCACTACCTAACCATTTATCTCAACACCCCTCGAGTCACAATATAGGTTGTCAGCCGCTTTGCACAACGATGTGTCAGTTATGGTCACAGGTTTCCATCTTCGCGTATCCATCTGGACAAGGGCCCAGTCCAGCCGCGAAGACCTGCACTGGTCGACATCCGTCTGTTCCTGCCATCGAGATTCCCCTGTTGGTTCTCCAGCCACATCAAGCAGCAGTCTTCTAACGCCGACGCCGTCTACACACCCGCCTCATCAACACGGCACGGTGTACCGGTGGACTGAACTCTCTGCGCCACGTCACCACACTCGTGGCAGCGCCTTCCTGCAGGCATCCGGCTACAACATCACCTGACGTCGCCGTCACCTCTCTGGTGACCTCACTATCACCATCTCGGGCGATATCAGGATACCAGCCAGCCGCCGCTGTACTCCAGCACCAAGCGCTGGCCACTCCAGAGGCGCACATACGAGTACCTACGGTCCATCTACATTCTACGGCGTCCGAGAATATTTCTGCTGCACACCATGATGCCTGGCGAACCGATGGGATCTCTACCTGATGCTGCTTTCGATGTCGATCTCCAACAATGCATACCTGTGCATCATACTATCATGTCTTGTTGCAAGTGTTCGTTGACGCCTCCTATTGTCGGCTCCCGGGGAGGGTGAGATAATGTCGCACAGCCTTGCTCCATCCTGCACCCTCACAGTTTACACTAATTGAAACCTTGCAAAATCCTATTCGTTACGCTCATCGTGTGACGGACGGGCGGCCCGGCCCGCACGCATGTACAATAATAAAGTTGATTGACGCTGCGCTTTGCAGTGCCCAGCCGGCCGCCCTGCGTCCTACATTCACGCGTGTCGGTCAGCGTCCCAGTTTCGTACACGTGTGTTTCATCGTATATAAAGTCCTGTATCTGACGCCAATACAATCCAGTTCACCAGCAGACGTCTTTGCTGAAGGTAAGGGCTAAAGGCCCCGCTGACACGGCCATTAATAACCTCTTCATAAACCACTCCTACCCGACCTCTTGGCGGGAAAGCACCATCATACCAATTCCAAAACCAAACAAAGACAAGCAACATCCCAGTGGCTATCGCCCCATCTCACTCACTAGCTGCGCCAGTAAGGTAGTCGAGCGCATGGTCAACACACGCCTCATACACCACCTGGAAACATATGACCTGCTCGACGAACACCAATGCGGCTTCAGGCGCGGGAAGTCGACAACAGACAACATCATTAGACTCATCTCAGACATTAGCACAGGATTTTATCGCAAACGGACAACAGTAGCAGTATTTCTAGATATCACAGCAGCTTTCGATCGAGTACAAAAACCGGCAATTATTTACAAGCTTCACCAACTAGGACTGCGCGGACACCTTGCTCACTTCATCATCAACTTTCTTGCGGACCGAACCTTCCAAGCTAGGTGCAGCACAACACTCTCACCAGCAACATCTCAGGATCAAGGTCTCCCTCAAGGTAGTGTACTATCACCAACGCTCTTCCTTATTATGATCAACGACATGTTCACCACGGCAAAGTACTATGTAAAATACTCACTTTTTGCGGACGACGTGGCCATTTGGGCTACACACCACGACCTCTTCAAGGTCGAAAAAGACGTCCAACTTGGCCTGAACAAAATTGCATTATGGTGCAAAGAATGGGGCTTCACCATATCAACCGAGAAGTCCGCCTCTGTAACCTTCACTAGAAACCGGAAAACCACTAACACTAGGTTAAACCTTAACGGCAAAGCAGTTAAGGAAGCCAAAGATTTCAAATTCTTAGGAGTCCGCATAGATCGAAATTTAACATTTTCTAAGCACATCAAAGACATCAAAAACAAGTGCGCAAAGCGCATGAACCTCCTCCGTGCGCTCACAGGCACAGACTGGGGCGGCGACCGAAAAACCATTTTGCAACTATACAAGGCCATCATCAGACCCATTTTAGAGTACTGCAGTATAGCTTATCACGGAAGCCTAACAGATCACCAGATAAAACAAATAGAAGCCATCCAGAACACATGTCTGCGCATTGCAACCGGGGCCATACCCAGTACACGAAACACGACACTTCTGGCCGACGTCAACATGTTGAATTGCCAGGAAAGACGTATGCAACAACTTTGCCGATATGCCATTAATGTTAAAACAACTCCGAACCACCCAGTGCAACACTGCTTCCGGCCGATAAGCAGACTCGGATGTCATAGACATTCCCGATTACGACACCCATCACTAAATGATCAGTTGAGCACCTGCTTATCTAAACTGCAATTTACTTTACCGGATCTGGCACCCAGGCCTCGAGCAAAACCCTTCTGGCTAAAGGCACCACCCAAAATCGAATATCTTTTCTCTGGAAACAAATCAGACATCACACCAACAGAAATGCAGTCGAAATTTAACGAATACAAAGCACAGCGCCCAAACAAAACATTCATGTACACTGACGGCTCAAAACAGGAACACAAAGTAGCTTTTGCACTGACGACTCCGCACTTTGAATTAAGCAGACGTTTACCGGATAACTTCTCCATTTTCACAGCTGAGGCCATGGCCCTCTTATTCGCCGTCAAATTATGTACCCATGAAAAGCTTAGTAACGTAGTAATCTGCACCGACTCAAAATCAGTCTTACAAGCCCTGAGTAACACCACAAACCCAACACATTTCATCATTTCTCGCATTCAAAATTCTATCCCTGAAAAACGAAACATTAAATTTCTTTGGATTCCTGGACATGCTTCTATCTCTGGAAACGAAAAGGCAGACAAACTAGCAAAGCAAGCATTGCATCTAGCAGAACCACTTGCAATACAGTACCCGGCAGACGACTGCAAGGCCATCCTCGAACTCCACATACAACAACTACGACAAACGACATGGGACGAGATAGGACCAGCACACATGTACTCAATCAAACCCCGATTAGGCTTCTGGGCGACCTCAAAACAAAACACAAGGCAAAAGGAAGTAATGCTCACCAGACTTAGAACCGGACGCACCAGACTCAACGCACCATGGCTAGAACCACAACAATATAACATTTGTGCCTTCTGCAATGTCAACACAGTGCCTACAGTTCAACACATCCTGCTAGAGTGCTCTAACTTCAACCTCCACCGACAACACATTATTGCCTTCTGTCGGCAGGAGAACGTAACGTTGAGCTTAGATCAGCTTTTAGGTGACAGACACCCAGAGCTATTAGCACTTCTCTTCAGATATTTACAAGACACTAAGCTAACAGGAGCACTCTAAAGCACACATCAACGAACAGTTAAGTGCCGTGCCCAACATCCCAACAGTTGACTTAGCGGTAATCACACTCGAGAATTCTCCTGGCTCCGCCGTGCGCTGGTCCAAGCTTGGTGCCAGTTACGCCGGCTGACACCCATTACACCAATCAACCGTGCGCTGGTCCAAGCTTGGTGCTAGATACGCCGGCTGATATTCACTACACCATTCAGCCGGGCGCTAGCCCAAGCTTGGTGCCAGTTACGCCGGCCGACATTCACCACACCACTCAGCCGTGCGCTGGTCCAAGCTTGGTGCCAGTCACGCGCAGACAGGAGAGATTCAAAATTAAGAGAGGCCAACTGGTCTTCACCTCTTCAAAGTTGTTAAATGGCCATGCAGTCTTGTCCTTCAGACAATAATTATTTAGGCCCATGCACCACCCGGCATTGTAGGGTGAACGCGACACCCGGCGTGAGAGGGGGTGTGGGGATTGCCTCCTAACCCGCACGATAAAGAACCCATGGTGTAGTTCGTGAAGAGTAGGCCATGTGCCGGCACCATGGCAAAATTAATCCCAAATCGAATTTATTGTCTTGATGGAGGACAAAGTGGCATCTTAACAACCCTTTAAAGTAACTATAACGTAAAACTTATTCTAATAGTAGGTAAAGTAAGTCCCAGGATCCCACTCACCTCCCAAGAAAGCCACAACGCGTTACCGAGCACTTTAAAGGTCAAAATTTTAGAACTCACACACTTAATTAAAGTAAATAAGCACTTGCAATATCAAAATTCTAGCAATTCGATATTTTTCTAGCAAACAGATTCTTTACAGGCGGCCGAATGTCCAATGGACAGGGACGCCTTAAAACCTCATTTTCACTCACTCACTTATTCAAAACATTTTTGGAATGATCGAAAAGGCAATTTCCTTTTAAATTATTAATTCTTTTTACTTAAACTTCCAATTTCACACCGAACCCAAACCAAACCATATGCCATTTTGAGTACCTAAATGTTGCGTTTTCAGCTTTTTATTGTGTCTCAAAATAGCTACAAAGAGACAACTCACCATAGTAGAAGCTTTACAGAGAAATTGACAGATCGAACCATAGCAAAGCACTACAATAGGTCACTGACATCCACGGGCGTAGCCTTTTTCAATGTTGGATGGCTCTTATAATACAAACATGGAGTCGATCCAGGAATATCGACCGGTCCCGGTCTCGTAGCTCAGTTGCTAGAGCGTTGGATTCCGCGTGGCGAGAGCACGCGGCCCGGTTACAACAGTCCGAGTTCGAAGCATGATGGCCGCTCGGTGTTTATGAGCACCCTGACGGGTGCGCTCATAAACGGGTGTGGTTGCGGTTGGTGGCAGGTCAGTCGAAGGCAATGAGGTTAAGCAGTGGTTTTAAAAAAGTGCGCCGAAGGCGCGACAAAATTTCGAAACTGAACAGGATGTGAGAGCAATCTTGGCATTGGCGACCACACGCGGGTCTTAGGGTTGGAGATTATGGCAAGTTAAGTAAATGGTAAATACCTACCTGATTTGCAATATTACGCCCATGGAAGTCAACATTCGAAGAGCGTGAGTTTTCTTTTCTCGTATGGAGACAGCTTTTAGGATTTACAAGAGTAGAAAAGTTACCCCGGCCGCGCCGGGGTAGGCTGAAAGTTACCCCGGCCACGGCCGGGGTGGCCGGGGCAGGTTCTCCACCCATGCACCCTGTGACACCCAACAGCCGCCGAGGCTCAGTGTCGTCACCGGGCATCGGCTGCATTCGCTATAACCAACAAACAGCTTATATTCAGCCCGAGCTCGGGGAGACAGAATTTCATTTGGGCGCTGAAGGAGTGCCACAAAACCTGCACAGCATGCGATGTGCAGCGTGCATATCATTTCGGTACCGTCCATTTGAACTGCTGGGCATTCATACAGCCCATACAAAGCCTGCTTCGAGCTATAGGATTTGCGGTATTTTAAATTGGCATGTTCAGCGCTTATGCACCAGGACATCAACTTCCTGATGCGATAGTAGTTTCATCGATAAAAGTTCGCCGCTCCCATGTTCACATGCCATTTGTTCACTTTCACCCATCGAATGGAGGATTTACGCAGTAGCTATTCCATTGTTTGTTTGTTGTTGGTTGCCTTTTCATTCTGTGCCAATGAAATTCTGATGGTCATTCGCCCAGAAAATATGTGTGCAGCCACGCCGCACTGCAGGCCAATCTAAAGCTTTGTCCTAGCCGACAAAAAAAGGACAATGATTTACGATCAGCTTGGATCCAAAAGTTGGCTTTTGACTTCCAAAAAGTGAGTACGATCAGTGATAACCAAAACTACCGCACATAAACCTTATCCAATCCAGGGGGGTCTGCTCCCGTGCTTTTCCGCTATCAAAAACTGGCAATAGGCTGGCTCAAGGCCGTTGGACAGCGGCCGGCGCGCTGATTGGCTGACGGCTGTAAATAGGGCGGAGCTAATATGGTGACGTCACAGATCACTCTGCCCGAAGGCCGATAGTGTTATAGTCAATGGAGGGGAATATTGTGCACCTGTTTTTTCCTACTTTGAGTGTCACGTAAGGTCTTTTTCTTTATTTTGGTACAATTGAGGTCGTTCTCGTGGCTGCTACACATCAACTTTCCATTCGTTAACGCATTTGTCCGATTTAGAGCGTCTTGA